AAATCGTTTATATGTTGACACAGTTCACACAAGGTGAACATTTTCGATGATCGATGCGTGTATTTTGACAGTGGTTCAAAGAAAATAATTGCTGTGCTATGTGATTATTTGGTGATCTTCGGCTTTTCGTTACTGATTCAAAAGAATAAAAGATTCATCTGTTTCTGGTTTTACAGCAGTACTTTCGCTTCTATTCTTCTTTTTCATTTTTGTTCTTACTTGTTTATTCCTACTTGGTGAAAGTAGTACGTAAATTGAAAGGAGGTTTAACGCCAAAGGTTAAAAAACCACACCTAACAGAATATTTTACATCCTATTTTGAATATAGGTAAGTGATTATGAGAATGAAGTGCCCTAAAAGTGTCCAAATAAATAGTTTTTTCATTCGATCATATGCTTCTTGTGGTTATTTAGCAAACAATTTTAAAAAGAATGCATTTTATGAGCAAAACCACTACGACTGCTTTTAATTTTACCAACTTATAATGTCGGACCCAATGCAACATACAATGTTTTCATTCGATTCTATTTTCTCTTCTTATTTGATCTCGAAAATCTTTGCCACATTGACGATTCCAATATTCACATAATTATCTCAATTTCTGGCATTTTGAGTGAGGTACATTTTTATTGTTTTTTCTCACAAATGTTTTTCTTTGCACGATTTCTTCTATAATATTCACCTTTTTCATTCTTTTGATCAAATATGAGATGAAATCATATCATATATCCGTATATTAGGTCGATTTGATCGAAGTGATGCTGTGCGGCGTCTTTGTTTCATTGGTGTGTGGTTTTTTCTTACATCCATATCCATTACTTTGATCCATTGGTGATGTTGAATGGAAAGAGCGCAAAATCAAAGAGTCCAAGTGCATTTAAATGCGATGAACAATATGATATGAGTTTTTAATCGCTTTAGAGGCGACGGAGAATCAAACAAAACATGCCGACGGATGGCCAAATCGAGTCGACGCTTAAAAACTCCGGAAGCACCACTGTTTAAAATTGAATGCCGTTGGTTGAGCATCTCAACATGTATTCATAGTAACGATAATGATCCAGTCTGTAATTAGTTGATGAATCGGCGTTTAATCTGTGAACAAAAACGGCTTTAATATTGCACTTACTTAACCGAACCACATTATTTATGAGGAACGTCGTCGGATTTTATCGCCAATTTCCGGACATTTAGTCCAGTTAATGGTATTGTCGGTGCCGTTGGCAGTCGCCTCGATTTTGAATTGGACAGTCAAGCAAACATTTTAAATTTATAGAAACTAGTTCATTGTTCGTGTGGAATCGCCTACATTTTCAATGCGATGGATTACGGTTGTAGTGGCAAAATCTGTGTGGTGTCGGCATCGAAACAACAGTATTAATATCATTTGCGATGCGATTTATTTTCTTTCGTTTTTAATGAAATCGGCTTATGTTTTACAAATACATTGTCCATTGCGCCGCATGCAAACGAGAGGAGGCAAAAAAATGCGTTTGATCTTTTTTGTCGATGCCGCATAGTCGGTTTTCTCCCTTTTCTCTCACTCTTAGCGCACGGTCTTTTACTTTAATACATAAATTATGAATATATATACACGCTTTGAATTGCAATGCAAGCAATTCATATACCACTTCTATTCTCCACCTCTTTTACTGCGACATACTCTACTCGTTTGATTCATTCAAATTAACAAACATTGGACGTCGCTTATTTATTCTCGCTTCTTTTTGAAATGAAAAATAAAAACACAATATTTTGTGCGAATTTCATACACTTGTCGGATTCTTGGCTGGTAAACCCATTTTGCATTTTCAGCACAGCAACTAATCGCAAAATCTTCAATCTCATTAAAGCACATTTTATTTCGCTCTCTCTCTCTCTCTCTCTCTCTCTCTCTCTCTCTCTCTCTCTCTCCATTCGTCTCTCTTTCGCTCTGAAATTCCAATTTTTCTTAGATTGCGCAAAATGCAGCTCACAGATATGCACGACAAAATTTCATTGATTTGGCTGGAAATTCGCTCATTGAATTTCGGTTAGACTCGATTTCATTTCATTTGATTTGAAAAATTCGATGCTTTTTCTGGTTGTTTGAACCTTTCGACTAGGAAAATGAAATTTCAAGATTTTAGAACATCCGAAAATATCAAAGGAAGGTATGAAATCAAAACACATGCTAAGATTTATAGTAAATTAAAATATTTTTGCTCCAAAAATCGTGAAAAATTGAAAAAAAAAAAATCAAAATTTACCAATTTGGAGAAAACATTGAATATCGTCAATTTGAGCGCCAAAAATTGGTTTAGTTAGCAAAATAAAAGACAAAAATCTGAATTTGTACACGTTTTTATTAAAATACAAGTAAAAATTGTCTCTCAAATACTTTCTACAAATAAATATATGATTAATTTGACATTTATGGAAGAAAAATTATTGAAATCATACAAATTGCGTAATAAAAGAAATAAATAATTCGATAAAATAATTTTAAATTCCGACGTAAAAATCCGGTCAACAAATATTTGTTTGCAGAAAAAATGTCTTAATGTGAGCTTTGATAATGGTGAACTTCACACGATAAATAAATTAAATAAACTAATCAGACTTGATTGTACTAAAGCACCTTGAACCAGTGTATTTAAAATACACATATTTGCATAAGGCTCGAACTCGTTTGGACCTACCTCCCTGTGTATTTTGCACAGTTTTTTTTTTGTAAATTTTGTCGATTTTTTCTTTGTATACCATGGATCTACAAAAAGAAAACAAACGTTTCAATCTCCACCAAATAAAATTCTAACGAAAGATATTCCAAACGAATTCGTAAATTTTTACATTTTAAAATCTAATGAAATCGTCCGAATAGCGCTGCTCCCAAAACGAAGAATAACATTCTGGACAATTTGAGCATATACAAAAACATGAGATTCTTATAAGTTTGTTCTTTGTCATATAGTTCGGCTTTTTCCTTCATTTTATCATAGCCAACGACCATTGCATCGTTAACGGAGAAAACAATTGGAATCAATGGCTTGTATTGTTCAGGAATCATGGCTGTTACATCAGCGTCTGAGTCGATTTCGTTGATTCGATTGTCTTCATAATAGATTTTATCATTATTCGGTGTACGAGCTTGACTTGTTGCAAATGGTGCCATTTCGAGTGCAAAATTGATAGTTTTCAGAAGTGAATGTGTGGTATTGTGTCGATTTGGAATGTTAAATTCGGTGCCCAGATTGAAATCAGCAAAGACTTCTTCTTCGATGCCACAGTTACCGCGAAAATCGTCCATGTCAATGGGGAAAGCCATGGCACCGCCCAATTTTCGCTCGATGACAAATCGAATTTTATTCGCTATCGATCGACTGCTTTCGTAAACAATAACGTTTGTCGATTTCAAAATGCCACGCCATGATCTTGATTCGTCCTTAGCAATGGCCAAGCCAACCACATCATCGTAGAACTTTTGCCAATCGGATTTTTTATCTTTTGACAGTGTACGACAGACTTCATCGTAGCTCATTGTTCGTCGGAATGTCGCCGATTTTGGTGCCAAATCCAATACGGAGTGGAATGAAAGACCAACAAATTGAAGACCCAAGATGACTTTCGACGGTGGAACACCCATCTCGATTAAATTGTCAATGGTGTTTTGGAGGGCTGACACATTTCGCTCTTTTAGCACATCTTCGACACGATAACTTCCAGGCCATGTTTCCACGAAATTATACTTTTGCACAAAATGCACACGATCGAAATTCTCCGACATTGCAGCAATATTCAAGCGTTCAGCATCGGTTTGTTTTAAATCGATAAATGTTGAGGTGAGTAAGAGATTTTGCGTCTCGAAACTATCCATTAATCCCTTTACCAAGTCATGGATCATTTGCTTTTTCGGTGCACCGAAATTACTGCGCATTAAAATGGAACAGAATTTTAACATCTTGATCAAAAATATGTTTTCAATTTTACATTTTAATTCAAACATTTTCTCACAATTTCTGTGAACGAAATGGGAATGAACGAGATACTTACTTATTTTCTGAAAAGTCCCACACCAAGTCCATTCCGTCGAATTTATGATTCAACATAAAACTGGTGGCCTTTTCAATGAATCTCTTGCGACGCTCGGGTGTACCTGCATCGCCAATAAGATCATCTGTGTTCAACGAACGTTTTACGGCCAACGAAACCTATAACAGAATGATTTCATGAATTCCGGTAAAAATCAAACAATGACAAAATATTTGAAATCAGTTCAATGTTTATTTCATTTTGAATTTTTAAATCGTACGTTATTGGCCGTAATAAGTGGCTTGAAAAGTAGGTCTTACCTTCAAATGTGGATATTGATGCCGTAAGTTTGTGTACCGCTTATAATGACCTTCAATTTTACTGTCTCTTGAAATCCATGGCTCTTTTTTTATAAAACAGAAGAATGTTGGAAAATATTGATTTAAAAAAATAGGCATTTTTTTCCGAAACGGATTTTTCCAACAAAAAAATATCGTAACTAAAAATCATGCATTTTTGAATGGGATGTTTTTTAATCTTAATATGGGATGTTCTTTATCTTCTCTCTTTTACTAGAAAATACACCAAAATACATGATTTTTAACCAAAGGTCAGATTTTACTGTAAGAATTTGTATTTTGAATGAAGCCTTCATTATGAAGAAACGACAAAAAACTTTAATATCTTCCAAAAATTCCGCAAAGAAAGAAAAAAAGTCACCTTTGGAAATAAAGCTGCAGACAGTTAGTTTGAAGCTTGTATTCATACAAACCGTCTCGATTTCCAAAAGTGACATTTTTTCAACTTCCTTCTAAAAAACTGTAAGATGTGAACAGGTTCTTACAGCGAATACAATCTCATTCAATAATGAATTATTCTTAGTTACACTCAATGGTTCCACCAAAACCATCTCGTCCTTTACTCACCAATTGATTTATCCCAAATGTTGTCAATGCAAATAAGATGT